TTCTTGCCACAGAACCTCAATCGTTGACAGTATCGCTATAATCTTTTTGCAGGTGTATGCTAGCATTCATGCGGGGCTGAGACGCATTGCGTCGCAGCCAGTAGAGCAAGCTGAACACTTGTTGAACGAGGCGCTTGTTTCCATGAAGCGAACAAATGTGATTGTGAAAGGAGGGCTCTCTCTAATAGCTCCTGCTGCGAAGAAAGTGCGAACAATCGCGCTCCGTCCTGAGGTTCCGCTCAGAGGACCTGCGCCTGCTGATGCCATACCCATCCGGATGAAAACAGTGAGCTCAAATGATTTTTGTCGGATTTCATTGGTCTCTTCTTGTCTTAACTCATAGCGCAGAGACAATTTTGCAGACGTCATCTAATTAACAGAGAAAAGAGGAAGAAGGAAACTTGAAGTGCCGAAGGAGTTTGAGGTGGCAGAAGTCCGGGTGTGTGGTTATTGCTTTTTAGAGAATCCGCTGAATGATTCTAATAGTGTTGTGTATTGGCTTGAAGTGTACTTTCTGTGATTCTTGGAGGTCATATGGATAGTTGTGCTGTATTGAGTGCTCAGTGCGCTGTATGTGGTGTAGGGAACAATGCAGTACAGTGAATGTTGAGTAGGTTAATGTTAAGCTTCAAGTTTGTTAAGTTGTTTATAAGGTTTCTGTTTTTGTTTGATTGTTGTTACTCTTGTTTTTCTTGTAGATCATCTACAACATTGCAACCGCAACTACTAAGCTGCGTGCTATGTTCTAAATCTTGAACCTATACTCCATCTTATCACTTCTTTGGATATTTTTTTCGTTGTTGTTCTTTCATATTGTGCTTGTCCGTATATGGGTAACTCCCGGGTGTTTGCGGAGCTCCAAGGGAATTCGCACCAATTACTGGTAGATTGTTTGTTACTATTTATTCATTTGTTACTATTTCACTTATTCTCGAGATACTCACTCAACACGGGATTATCACTTAATGCGGGATTGCTTACGATAGTTGCCGTCTCATTTTCTGCTAAGCACTACTGTAATATTATGTGTGAATAGTTTGAGAATTGCGCTCGTTTCAGCAGTGTATTGAAAATCACTCGCTTACTTGTATAAATGCGATTTCTTCA